CGGGGGGGGAGGGGGGCGCGTGGTGGGTCTTTTTGTGGGGGGGGGGGGGGGATAGACCTTCCATGGGCCCCTCAACGTGTCGTGACCCATTCCCGGCTCCGTGGCTCAAGCAGAAGGGCGTTGGTGGGAACCCAAACCTTGCACGGGCCCATCCACGTGCCGTGGCCCTTCCCTAGTTTTACGGGTTGGGTTGGAGGTAACGGTGGAGGAACCCAAACCTTGCACGGACCTGCCCACGTGCCAGGGCCCATCCCCAGCTCCGTGGCTCAAGTATGAGGTAGCTGCGGGGAACCCAGACCTCGCGTGAACCCTCCACGTGCCGTGGTCGTTCCCTGGTTTAACGGCTTGGGTTGGAGATAACGGAGGAACCCAAACCTTGCACGGGCTTGTCCACCTGCCAGAGCCCATCCCCAGCTCCGTGGCTCAAAAGCATGAGGTAGTTTTGGGGAACCCAGACCTCGCGTGGACCCATCCACGTGCCGTGGCCCTTCCCTGGTTCTACGGCTTGGGTTGAAGGAACCCCAGACTGGAACGGACCCATCTCACCTTCTGTTTGAACTCAAAGCCACACCAAGACCCTCCTTTCCCCAGCAGCCACCCGGGAGGTGGCTGAAGGGACGTCACCCCCGCCTCTTACCTGGCAGGAATCGATGCCCCCCTGGGGGACACCGGCGCAGAACATGTTGGGGGTGATGGCGTGCCCGTACGCCCTGGTGCACTTGTTCTTCCCAAAGGCTTGGACGGCGGCACACTGCAAATTTTTGGGCAGCTTTGCTGCAGGAGAAGGTGGGGACGGAGAGAGAAAAGGTGAGAAGGGGCAGCTCCCCCCCCCGCCCCCCGCTAATGCTGAGGCCTGAGCAGACCTCATTACGCTTTTGGTAGGGTTCTTTGGGAGGGGGACAATGGAGGTGCCTCCCTCAGAGATGGGTCAACCCAAAGGAAAACCAACCCCGAAGGGAAAACCCAAGCAGAAGTCATTCCCCGGGGGGGAGCTGCTCACTGGGCAGAGTTAGGGTGACATCAAGGAAGGCCTTAGCCCGTTTTTCCCAGCTGAGGAGGCCACCTGGCCTCCCTGGCGAGCCCTCGCCCCTGCCCAGTTGCCTCCCCCCATCCCACCTCTTCCACTGAGGTCTCCATCATGAGCCAGTACCTCCGGGGGACTTGGTTGTGCCCCAGCCAGAGACGCTGCACCTCATCCCGTCCATGGGACACTTCGTGGCTAATCTGATCTTCTTGATGTTTTTGCTGAACTGAACGGGCTTGTTCAGCCTCAGGAGCATGAAGTCGTTGTCATTCTTCTGGGGGTTGTAGGCGGGATGGACCTGGAGCTTTGAAATCGACCTCACTTCCCCCGTCCCGTCCCGTAACGTGTCCGTCCCGATTAACACCTTGAGGTCCCTGCCGGGGGAAGAAGGTCAAGAAATCAGTGCTGGTCCCTCCAGAGGAGACACATAAGCCCTTGGCCTCAAGGGCCGTCCGTCAAGGAGCTGATCAAGACCTGTCCGTTGAAGCTTCTCCACAGGGCAGAGTTAAAGTGATATGGCCGTGGGAACACCTCATCCCCTTTCCCTTGGGGAGGAGGCCAGGAAAACACGCTAATGCCTTGAGGATTCACGAGCCAGCTCTCCTCCAAGAGCTCTTTGATCCTCGGGTACCCTGGGGGCATCTCCCATCTCCATGGGAAACTGTTGCGTCGCTTCATTTCAACTCCTTGACTTCATCTTCCTGACTCCAGGAGTCCCACCTGCAACAGCTCAGCTACGTTGCCCTGAGCCTAACTTCTTGCCAACTTTTCTTCTGCTTTTTTTTTTTTTTCATTATTTTCATTATTTTACCCTCCAAAAGGTCCAGCTTCCTCTCACGGGACCTTGTGGAGAAGCTGGAGAAACTTGGCTGTGGGGGCACCTGCTCCGCTTAGTGTCGTCACCTGGAAAAAGGGGGTGACGGGCCTCAAAGGGGGGGGAGGTTGGCTCCCCTAAGGGTTCTTCGGTGAAGGGTGTCACCCCGCAAAGGCCACATCGGCTCCTCCAGTCTCCACGTGGAGGATGGCTGTACCTTCGTTGCCCTCTAGAGGTACCAGCACCCAGACACCAACAGCTGGAGATACCCATGCCTGGAACACCAACATCTAGAGCTACTGGCCGTGGGACACCAGACCCTGGAGGTAACATCTGGGGTACAAATATCTGGACATACCAACCTCTGGTTACCTCTGGAGGTACCCGCCTCTGGAGCTATCAAATCCCTGGAGGTACCAGACTCAACTTCTGGACACCGAAATCTGAAGGTGTTCACATCTGGAGGCACCAAACTCTGGAGATGCCAACATCTGGGGCACCTCTCTCTGGATACCGCCGTTTGGAGGCCCCATCCTCTGGAAGTGCCAACATCTGGGCACTAGCACCTGGAGGACCCGCTTCTCACCCCTGGTCATTGAGGGCTCCTGGGAAAGGAGACGTTGGCTCATAGGAAGCCATGGGGCACATGAGCATGGACCCGGCTTACCTGGTTGGCTGCTTGCAGTGGGCGGCTGTCAGGACCCATTGGGCATCTATCAAGCTTCCCCCACACAGGATTTGACCCCTCTTGATGAGGGCGACTTGGAAAGGTCGCTGGTTGATGGAGCAGGGTCTCCCGCCGATGATACGGGACCCGTCCTCGTCCGGCACTGTAACACAGAGCACCAAGGGGCACCGTGAGCGCGGTGCGTGGCCGCAGCCAGCCGCGAAATCTTCCACAGAAACCTGCCGTTTTGGGTTGAAAAGGAGGCAAAGCCTTGCGAAAGGGAGTCTTTAAAAAGGTGAAGTGAAAGAGAAGAGGGCAAGGTCTCTATTTTCCAGCCTCAAACTCCCATCAGAACAGTCAAAATCATCTTAAAAACCTAAAAATAATACTTTTTAATTTACTGAGTCACCTATCAGCCTACTGGGATCCCCCCGGGCTTTTTTTTTTTTGATGAAAAAGAGATGATTTTGGGACCAGTTGAAATCCAGCCGTTCGTAGCCAAGATTGAACCAGTCCTTGAAGGTCTGTTTTCTCCTGCTGCCATTTGATGGAGCCCATGACTCCAGGACCTCACCACCCATCCCAGGCAGAGGACTGAGGCGGGAGCTCCCACAAGGAGACCCCTGGGACCGGTCTGTCACGCCGGGTTGTGCCAATGAGCTGTCCTGGAAATCTCTGCGCATCAGGAAGTCACTGGGGGCCACTTATCTCCGCCGGTTTCGCCATGTGCCTCTGGGAGGGGCATCCGTTCCACCTCTAAGATTCCTCCCAGCCCAAAATTGGACTCCAAAAGGGAGGTGACGCACCCCTAAAAGAGCTGATTTCTTCGTCCTCGGTTGGTGAGAAAGCCTGTAGGACCAGCTCGAAAAGCCTCCTGCCTCCTGGCTGGCTCACGTAGCCAGGACTCCTAGTTAGGGCCAGGGTAGGAGACGGTTGCATCAACACAAGCAGGAGAAGCCCTGACGCAGGGAGAAGTGATAAGAGGAGTTCGCTCAGGAATGTGAGTCCTTACGTCGCTCTGGAGCCGAGATGTCTTGGTCCCGTCAGGCTGATTGAGAAGAAAGAGAGAAGGGCCATCAGCTCGGTTTGGGGGGTCTTTGGTCGTACCACAGAAAAAGGGTCTCACCGCTTGACGCCCCCACTTCTGGCATGGATCTGCCAATCTTTCAGGTCTCTGGAGGCATCTCCCTTCGCTTCAGGTCGCTTGCAGAAGCATCTCCCTGCCCTTCAGGTGGCTGCAGCAGATGGGTGTCCGCTAGAGTTGCCCAGTGGTCCTTGGAGGGAGGGAGGGACCATTCTGAGAGGCAATCCCACCCCGTCCAACGCCAGGCGTCTACAAGATGAGGTGCCCCTCCCCTTGTCAGGCTATTTATGACGAATGAGGTCTGCAGGGTGACCATCTTGAGGCCGTGACCATCTTGAGGCCGTGACCACGCAGAGCTCCGCTTGGGTGTCCACCCAATGGGAGTCCAAAGCCTTGCGACGTGCTCCTGCTGTCCCTCCTGGCCTCCATCTACACCTCTGTGCAGGCAAAGCCTTTTGGGAACCTCAGGTGGCACCTCTGCCAAGGCCACTGGAGGAGACCCCTGATCCTGAGTTGTGTCCAAGTGGGAGGAGACAAGATTTAAAAAAAAAAAAAAAAAAGGAAAATCAGTGCAAAAAAAGGTGGTTTTTCTCCAGAAAAAGACCTCCCTCCCACCCCAAAAACATGCAGTAGGACTTTCAAACGGGAGATATCAACTCCTTGTTCTCTGAGATGTCCTCACGGGTGCGGGGGCTGATGGGCCTGAGTCCTCCATGCCGCGGCCTGGGGCATCCCAGACGTTTTTGCCTATTTCGGGGAGAAGTCGCGACTCCAAGCGTTGACCGCCTTGGCGAAGACCTGTATTGATCGCGGCACGTGCAAGGTGGCTCCGGTCCATGACCTATGCAACTGCCTTCCGCCGAAGGTTGGGACATTGGAATTTACCGGTGGGACTGGTTTGTGCTGGTGGGGATTACAGCCTGTGACGGGTGGCAATGGGAGACGCCCGAGTTTCAAGCCGCCTGGAATTCGCCACTATCCGGTCCCAGCAGCGCTGCCAAAGTCAGAGGGTGGGAACCATCCTCCTGCAAATGCTCATCGGGGAAGCATCCCTGGTCATCCCAAAGGCCGTCCTTGAGCCTTTAGAGACCAGCCAGCGGGTTTAGACTCCACCAAGCTCCTTGAAGGCATCTCAGCAGCTTCCCTGAGCTCCCACGGTGGAGGGGTATCCATCAACAAAGGTCAATCAGTGGAGAGGTAGGCAATGCGAGATGGTGGATCCTGCCCTGTGATAGAATCCATCCCCTGCATTTCCAGAGGCTACTGGCAACCAGAGGGCTCCAACCAAGGTGATTGTTCCTCCATCCCAAATCATAAACCTGCCTCCGAGAAAACAGTTCTTAGACAGTCACGGGGCAAGTTATCCAGCCATTGTGTCCGGACACGGCCTTGTTCCTTCTCCGCAGGACCTGGGCGTTTCGGATTCGGCTCTGGGGACACAGATTTGGTTTAAGAGGCACCGAGATCAGGTCAGATCCGAGGTCTTTGCAACCAACAGTCAGAAATCACGGGACTCCTCTTTCCACCCTAACTGAGACCCATCCATTCGGGTTCTCTGTTGGCAGAGCATCATTTTGGAGGCCAGAAGAAAGGAAGGGGACGTTCCCAACAGGATTAAGTCTCTCCTTTCTTTGCCTCACCCCGGGCGACTCTTTTGTCTCCTCCTTTTTGCAGCTGTAACAGAAATCCCCGTACGAACTTCCAGAGGAGGGAAAGAAATTATCCCGGAGATCCCGGCGCCTCCAACGGGATGTGGGAATTCTCCTCTGCGTCTCTTTCAGGGCCATTTCTCCACGTCAAGGGGTTTGCTTTATCTCAGCTCGAAACCAAAACAGGTTTCGAAACCGTAGGGCCTTGCCCGAACCTTCCTGTCGGCAAGATTCCCATGAGCCAAGAGAAGGCATCTCCTCATCCCATGCCGTGCCGTGCCATCCCATCGGACACATGCCCCTACAAGGTGCCCATGAAACACCCGTGGTGTCTCCATCCCCCCCTCCTTGGCCACTAGTTTGACTTACGCTCATCGCCTTCGTTGCCCTTCACCTCAGCTCGCGCTGGCGGCGGGGTGGCCAGCAACAGTCCGGCTGCGAGGATGAAGATGGGGATGGAGCCGAAGGGCCCGTGCCCGTCACGAGACATGCACGGGACAGAGAG